TCTTCTTTAATTCATCTACTAGATTCTCTAATACATCTGTATCCAATGTTTCCTTGTATAGTTCAGAGCAATAACTTGTCCACCTCTGTAGGACTTCCATCCTGTCCAGTAAAACCTCTCTCTTCTCATCTTTGATTGCCATTTGCTTTGGTATTCATTCTGGTTGACATTTCTGATTATCTTATATACTTCTTTAGTCTTGCATTCTCCATAATATTTTTCTGTTTCTACACTGATCCTCTAGCCGTTTTACTTTATCCATCCTAATTGCTTTTTTCACTTCATTGCACTTTACCTTATACTGTTTTTCCAGCTCTTCAGAAATGTCTCTTCTAAGCCTAAGAGCTCTTTTCTCTTGGCAAGCTTTAGGGTCTCTTGTGTGATCCATTTCTTATTGATTTTTTTTCTCTTCTGGTAGGGTCTGCTCAATTGCTTCTCTTATTGCCTTTGTTATTTCTTCCACTCTTGTGTCTAGCTCTTCCATCCTGTCTAGGATTTTTATCTTCTTCTCAAGTGTATTTCTATATATGCTCCCTATTTTCTCACCTTTTAGCTTTGTAATGCCTCTTTTCTTTTGGAAATGTGCATTAACTTTCCTCTTCAGTTTTATCTTTGTTTGCAATGACTAAGCTGTGATCAGAATCTATGTCAGCTCCCTGAAAGGTTCGACACTGTTGAACTGATGTTGACCATCTCCTTTGGATCAAAATCATATCAATCATGTTTCTTGTTGTTCCATCACTTGATCTCCATGTCCATTTTCTACAGATCTTTTGCTGGAATTTGGTGTTGCATATCATTAAATCTTGATCTAGGGCAAATTGAAGCAGTCTTTCTCCTTGTTCATTCCTTGCTCCATATTCATACTTACCCATTACTCTTTTCCAACCTTCATTATTATTTCCAATTTTAGCATTTCAGTCACCTCCAATGATGATCACATCTCTCTGTGGCATTTTCTCTATTATCATGCTTAGATCTTTATAAAAAAAGTTCAATCTCCTCTTCACTGCTATCTGAGATAGGTACATATATCTGGATTACTGATATCTTAAATGGTTTTGCTTCAAACCTTGCTGTCATCAATCTTGCACTAACTGGATTGTATCCTAACAATGCTGCTTGTGCTCTTTTACTAAGCAGAAATCCAACACCAACTTCATGCCTTGTATCATTTCTCAACCACATGACTTCATCGTCATTCAGTTCTCCTGATGCTGTCCAACGCATCTCTGCTAAGCCTAATATGTTGCATTGATATCTCTCCATTTCCTTCCGAAGCAGCTCTAGTTTTTCAGTTGACCATAACATTCTGACATTCCAAGTTCCTACTGAAAGGACTTAGGACTTGTGTTGCTGGACTTTTTTTCTTTCTTTCAGTAGCTAATTTTTTCACCCAACCCCAATTGCTCAGTTGGTGTTGCAGATCTTGTTTATCCGGGCAATGTCCAAGCTGGCATCTTTTATCTTTTGCTTGTATTGACGTCAGATTTCATTTGTGTTGTTGTTTTATATTAGTGCATCAACACTCATCTAACCAACCCTCCTCCTTTTTCCAGGCTTGGTATGGGCATGTTTTCTCTAGAGGTTGCATGGCAGAGTTGATAAAGGTTAATTAATTGTATTTNATAAAGGATTGTTTAACAAAAACAAAATTAAAACTGAATATCAAAAATATATTTTGCTAGCATTTTTGATTTTATATCATCATACTCAGCTGCTTGAAACACATTAATGGAAAAAGAACATTACATTTTTAAATTTAAAATATTTCATTTGATATTTCACATGCAAAATTTGTTTTTTTAGTTATAAAAATGAAATGTAATAATTTATGTAAATTGAAATATGGCAGTAATGTAGGTAAGTAGATTATGTAATAATAAAATATATGTGGGTTGTTCAAAAACTTCCCAAACTTTTTTAATAGCACGCCTCCAGTTGGTTATTTTTTAATCTGCTTGGATGTGTTGTGTCTGTGGAACCCTCCTGAGTAATCTCCTTCAATCCGTTTGTTGATATCTTGATTTGGTGATTAGTTATGGCCATTTATGTGAAGGTGTGTTTATGGGGTTCGGCAAAAAATTGGATCCGCGGAAATGAGCTGTTTGAAGAAGCAGCATTGTTCTGTAAAATTCTGCGTGAAACTTGGAAAATCCTTCACGGAAACTTCCCATGGATGGGTGAAACACCCCCTCCCCCGCCTCAAAAAAGCTCAACAAGTTCACTCAAATGTTAAAAGTGATGTTGACTGTTTTTTTCGATTCAAAGGGGGTTGTGCATCATGAATACCTACCTACAGACCAGACAGTCAACATGGAGTACTACCTGGAGGTTATGAAACACCTAAGAGAGAGAATCAGGCAAAAACGGCCCAAACTTTGGAGGAGTGGCGAGTGGTTTTTTCACCATGACAATGCACCGGCTCATTTGTCCCTTGGAACTCATGAGTTTTGGCCAAAAACAAGACTGCTGTGCTTCCCCACTCACCCTAATTACCTGACCTGGCCCATGTGACTTTTTCTTGTCCCCCAAACTAAAAACATGCTCAAAGGAAAAAGATTTGCCACCATTCCAGAGATAGAAAAAAAAACAACGGAGGAGCTTATGAGCATTCTGGAAAAAGCATTCCAGGACTGTTTCAAAAAGTGGAAACACCATTGGGATAAGTGTGTATGTTGGAGAGGAGACTACTTTAAAGGGGACCCTGACAAATAAGTTGTAAATGAAGTATTTTTTTGTAATAAATAAAGTTCAGGAACTTTTTGAACAACCCTTATATACGTAGTAAATATTTCTTAATACTGCTTATTAAGGAAACCAAAACAAATTTCTTACAATTAATGATATAAGTTATTGTGATGTTCATGACAAGAGATAGTACGATCCGTGAGCAAACCATTACAAAAAGGATGATGTATAATCCACTGTACTACAAAATATCTTTTTATTCTCTTAGAACGGGTTCAGGTTTTATTTAACAGATCCCAGCTATTTATAAAATTAATGACAAGAGGTGCACTGAACAGGGAGATTCCTTGTTCTTGTTACCAAAACATCACTTGCCAGGGAGCTAAAATTGAAAGGGTGGTGGTGGCATCACCAGACACACCTAAGTTATGCCTTTGCGAAAACACAAGCCCACACCTTCTCTTAGACCCATTTTGGACAAGGCCAGGTCTCCAACACATCTTGAAAAAGCAGTCCATAACATCGCATCAGACCATATGAGAGATTACGATCTAAATGTCAAGAGCCCCAAAGAACTTATAAGAATATTAAGGCAAACACAGGTAATGGATTTGGCCCACATCACAGTGTGTGACTTTGTATCATTATACCCTTCAATTAAATTGCAATCGTGCTTTTGTGCTCTGAGAGATCTCCTATTGACCAAATTTAGAACACCTACACATCGCAAACAGATCTTGGAACTGGCACATCTCGTGTTACAACTCTATATTCTAGTGTAACAACTGGACCTATCAACAAAAACGCGGTGTATCCATGGGCAGCCCAATATCTGGCGACTTATGTCAGATGGTATTATGTAGATTAGAAGAAACCGTCATACCAAAGTATAGATCTAATATAATTATTTATAAGAGATATGTGGGTGATGTCTTTATCCTGTGGAAAATGAAACCAAACATCAATGATTTTTTGAGTCACATGAACAACAATTTGTACGGGCTGACCGTGAAACTAGATCAATTGACTACCACCACTGCACACTTTTTGGACATTAACATCATGCTCAACAGTGGATTGGTCGAAACGGGTATATATTATAAACCTAGCTACATCCCATGGTTTATATCGGCAAACTCAGCGGACGTGTTCACTTATAAGGTTGCAGCATTCTGGGCGTTAGTTAGAAGAACATATATGCACCCTTCTAAGTTAGTTAGAAGAACATATATATGCCCTTCTAAGTGGAGTGACACCATAATTGAACTACAAAATATAGAATGCATTGCAATGGCATATGGACACAAAAAAGAACTAATACGAGGGCTAGCACATGCCTATTTCCAAACACGTGACACACAGGAGACATCCATTACTCAAAGGACTAGTCAGGACCCAACCAGAAGATACAACATCGTTGAATACAACAAACAATTTCAAGGGTTATATAAAGAACACCAGTGTAGCATACTGAAGATCCCCCAATATATATCAATTATTATGTAATGCAAAAGACAAACAGAATGATCTTAGGGCTCTGAGGGTATATAGTATTTCTGTGAGAGATGATAGATTTAAGAGAGAAATGGTGTACATTGCTCCATGAAACGTTTCATCCAACAGAGGATTAAGGAGCACAAATATGACATAGACCATGCTCGTTACACCACTGCCCTATCTACCTACACAACCAACCTGGATATTCACGCAGAACTATCCAACGCCAGATTAATAAATAGAGCTTTTCATACAAACCTTGAAGCCCTGGAAATTTATAAAGCCGGCCGGACAGGGAGATGTATAAATACCAAAGACGGCAACACGCTTTCCTATGCTTTGCGCTATGTATGTGAAGAATAAGGAAACAATGATGATACGTAACATGCGCATGAGTTAAATATTTTAAAACTAAATGTTCATTAAAAGAATGGAATTTGATTGTCCTCTTAACCTGAAGCAGACTTCGACTGAGGCCGAAAACGTTTGTTTTTACAAATAGTTAAGAAGTATCAGGCAATAAAGGTTTAGTAAGTACAATTTTATGCAAAATACTGGTATTCGGATTAGAAGATTTGTGATGATAAAGTCTCCATATTCAATTAATGTATCCCAGTGTGATTGAAGTTACTAAAAAAAACCAAAATTTAGGCTTAGTAAATTCATTGGAAAGTGTCAAGTTAAATTTGTTCAGAATCTGGAGATAATTTCCCACAAGTCAATGGTTTAAATTTGTTGCTCTGTTTTTGATTTTTATTATTTTTGATGATTTAGTAATATAATTTAAAATAACAATTTTATAAATTTTTCAGGGTTTATGTCAGTTTTATGAAAAAAATGATGGAAAAGAATATAAAGAAAAATTAATTGGAACATATATTGAAACTTTAAAACTTATGAAAGAGTAAGTAAATTCAATATTTAATGTTAAACAAACCTATGCTACAGTTGCTGACTTAGTGTTTGAACAAGAGATAAATTGTATAATTAAAAACATTTCTTATAACCATCTAGAGCAGTCATGAGCAAGGTCCTTAAGCTCCTTATGTACGCCCTCTAGGATTTTGGCAACAAGTTTATTTTTCCATTTTCTGCATCATGCCATTAGGCCAAAACACACATGTGTAAAATTGTGTGGCAGAAAACTGAATCAGAAATCAGCTTTCGATTCAGTTTCTGTTTTACGCTTTTATGCCAGAACACACACATGTACAAATTCTGGTTGAATAGGAAACACCACTGCCACTAACAGAAGTACATTTTATTAATTTTTTTTTTCTCATATATGTATCCCTTTGTACCTTCCATTTTTTCTCTGCTGCCTCTGCTATAATTTAGAAAATTTAATTTATTGTGTTGTAATTTATTGAAAATTTAATTTAATTTATTTTATTTATTTAAGTTATTGTGTCTGAATAAAGCAAATTAAATTAAAACACAGTTTCATCAGAATCAATAGAAAATTTAAATTAATAGACTTGTATTTCAAAGGGAAATAACATATGATCTAAATATTATATATTGATTTTACTAGACCTACCTATTATTTGAAATTTAGCACCTATGGCCATCCACAAACTTTGTTTAAAAAAAAAAATACAGTGTCTTTATGCATGACACTTTTTTTTGTCATAAAGACACTGATGTAATCGAATGGATTCAATAAAATCTTCAATTTCATTTATTTTTTGTTTTTTGGAGACTGTCACAATTGTAGGGGTAACCGCTATTGCCTCCATTATTAGAATAAAAACCGCATGTTTACTGTGATGTCACAAAAAAGACTTCTCTTTATTGGAAGAATTTTGGCGTAAAAATTTTATGCACGTAAAAAGTAGAGACATGCTCTACTCTTTATTCAGTTATTTTTCAGCCAAAATTCCAAAAAACTTTTACACTTTCTGTTTTATGCTATATTTTATGCTGAATTTTATGCATATGTATTCCTGGCCTTATGTGACCCTAATTAAGCTGTGACAAAAAACTTTCAAACTAACTTTGATCAATAAAAAGATGAGAATAAACTATACAGGGTGCATAGGCAAGTCCTTTAACCAGAAAATTCTTGCAAATGGAGAGAGCTACAGCTATGCAAGTAAGGTAATGGTATAGTAAAGCGACTATACCCGACCTAATGCAAAAGTCAGCAGCGCCCCTAGTGGCGAAATTTGGAAGATAGGCAGTGCAAATCGAAAATAAAAACAGATAGAGCAAACTTTCCAATTAGAAAGCTTTAGAGCATCAATTAATTAGTACAAAACGATACATGATTCACACAGATAAGATAAATTGTCACCTGTATACCAAAAATGTCTGAAAGCGATGCACGCCATTTTGTGTAATTGTCTGAAAGGAATAGCCATAAGATTGAAGAAATACGCACAATTTATTGCATAAAATACGTACTTACGTCAATGCAGTTTGATAACATCATACAAAAAACAACGAAAAGGCAAACTGTCACACAGTGATAACAAGTTAATGTCGAGTATGTTTGAAAAGTTTGCCATTGCTCACAATACATGCCATTGTTATCAGACTGTATTGACGTAAGTACGTATTTTATGCAATAAATTGTGTATACAGGTAACCCCCGTATAACACGGTAGTTACGTTCCAAAAAATTGCCGTGTTATGCGAAACAAAGAACTAGTACGAAAAGGAGGGTTAGGTTCCAAAAATTNCCAACCCCAATTGCTCAGTTGGTGTTGCAGATCTTGTTTATCCGGGCAATGTCCAAGCTGGCATCTTTTATCTTTTGCTTGTATTGACGTCAGATTTCATTTGTGTTGTTGTTTTATATTAGTGCATCAACACTCATCTAACCAACCCTCCTCCTTTTTCCAGGCTTGATATGGGCATGTTTTCTCTAGAGGTTGCATGGCAGAGTTGATAAAGGTTAATTAATTGTATTTTTTTTTTTTTTTTTTTTTTTTTTTTTTTGGAAATGGTCCCAACAAAATTTTTGTGGCAGGTTCCCAATTTAGTTATGTTATTCATATGAATTAATTATATCTCAAAAAAATAATATTAATAATAAACTAATAGAAAATATTTAATAAGTTCCTGTCAATATTCAGTCTACTTCAATTTATCAAAAACAAAACTGAAGGTTTTAAAAACCAATGATTGCTATTAATAACTTAAAAAGCAGTGTTCTAAGAAAAATTTGTTTAAGATTTAGCATTTTCTTTCTTAATAAAAAAGAAGGGAAAAAAGAATATAAAGTAATACCTTAGTTTTTTGCTTAAAATTTGTCCCTGTTTTTGTTGTTTGCCTCAGATTTCGGCGATGTGCCCACATGACCTCACTGCTAATTTTACGAAAACAAAAGGCAATTCATACATTTTTGTGCTCAGTGTAGCATTCTTTCCCATTGTGTGAGTATTCTAGCCAAACAATTCCATTGCTTTCCTTTTAGCTCCATCGTGGGACCAACAAAAGCTTCTAGAGCCAGCAACCCTTTGAATGCTATGTTAAATGTTCATTTATTCATATGAAAATGATTGCCTCGGTTTTTGTCGGTTTCGGATTTCGCTGATTGGTTTCAGACGGATTACACTGTTTGACAAGGATTCTATTTCTGATATTAAAATGTGTGATTCTAAACCAATTTATCATGGGAAATTCAAATCTGGAAACAGAATTTTGTTGTCAGGGATACTTTTTGTGTAACGTGTATATATATGTATATATTCACAGTTCATGACAAACACAGACGTTATAGAGAAATATGTGTATGTTGTTGCATGCAGTAATAATCGAATGTGACAATGATGTTGCTGGCCTAATGAAGGTGCTGAACTTCACCTACAGTTCACAGGAGTGGAGACTTTTCATAGATGTATTGAAAATAAGTCTCAAGGGTGTTTTTCTCCACAATGGAAATAAAATGCCCTCTGTTCCAGTTGCTTATGCCAGCTTGACTAAAGAGAATTACAAATTCTTATGAAGGATGATAAATTCATTACAATACAATGAATACAAATGGAAAATATGTGGAGACTTCAAAGTAATTGCTATGACATTGGGAATGCAACAAGGCTACACAAGATATGCATGTTTTCTTTGCGAGTGGGATAGTCATGACAGAAATTCTAACTAAATGTAAAAAAAAATGGCCTAAGTGGAGGTGGAAAGTGGAAGAAAAGAATGTGCAACATGAAAGTCTGGTAGCTCCTGAAGATATACTACTTCCACTGCTTCACATCAAACTTGGCCTAATGAAACAATTCGTAAAGGTCATGGATCCAACAGGCAGTGGATTTGCATATCTAGCTGACAAATTCCCCATCTTTCAGCTGCAAAAATAGAGGAAGGTGTATGTATGGGCCCGCAAATCAAGGAGTTGCAGAAAGATGCAAATTTTGAAGCATGTTTAACTGCCAAAGAAAAGAGAGCATGGGAGTGTTTCAAGATAGTATCAGAAAACTTCCTCGGAAGAAGAGCTACCAACTACAAAGCAATGGTAAATGACATGATCAAAGCACACCAAGATCTGGGGTGCAATATGTCTCTGAAGGTACATATGATAGACTCATCTGAACTACTTCACAGAGAGTTGTAGTGACGTATTGGATGAACATGGCAAAAGATTCCATAAAGACATTTCTACTATAGTAAGGCATTATGAAGAGAAGCGGGTATCTTCTATGTCAGCAGATTATTGCTGGAATATCATTTGAGAGAAGAAAGATTCTCAATACAAGAGAAAAAGTGATGTGCATTACTATATGGTGGCTCATTTTTGTCAATTTTCTGTAATTGCTCACGTGAAATAAATGCTACAAAGCAAATACACTAAGATGTATATGTTATATGTTAGATCCCAACCTCCCTTAATATGATGAACTTAATAACATCATAAAAAAGCTGATTTTTTTTCTTGAATTTCAGCTAATGTGTCCTGCACTATATCAGAAACATAAAGAAAAAAATAAAATTGTGATTACTCATAAACTATCCCTGACAGAAAAAAACTAAAAACAGGTTTGAATTCAGTGCTCGAAGTACAACTAGGAACACAATGTATTTTTTCAGAAATAGAAAAAAAGTTTTTTTTTGCAGAACAGTGTTATCAATGAAAACCGAGGTATCACTGTACCAAGGAAAAAAATGCTAAAATCTTAGAGGTGATTAGTGGAGGAGGAAGTACAAAGTAAGCTGAAAAAGGATGGTCATACAAGAAGTTTGAAAAATGATGCAATCAACATTAAAGATTTGGAAAGCATGTCTAATGTATGCAAGTCACTTTTAAAGAATTTAAGTAATTGAGATATTGTTAGAAGGACACAAGTCTCCAATAAAGCAGAAGCTATTTAATCATAAGTTCCAGTTAGTTTCTTTCATTCTTATTTACTACAGAAAATACAAGAGAATTAAGAATGGTAGCCTCAGTCTTTTTTTAAAATATGCATATTTTGGATGACAAGTGAACTTTAAAAGAAAGTCAAATATTTTAGTGATTAAAAATATACTCAATAGATTTTTTACTATATTATTTTAAAGTATTATTTTTGTATACTACAGTGATAAGAATAAACAACTGGAAGTTATAAAGAAACTATGGGAGATTTATATTCAGTTAGACAAAGCAAAACAGGTAAAACAATTTACTAAATTATTATGTAGCTTGTAAAATTTACAAAATTCATTTAAAAACAAGAATGTGATACATATATATTAATAAGAAAATTTTTTCTTCCATTATAAATGAATAATTTAAATTAAAGAATAGGAAAGTAATTTAAATTATTTGTCATTTTTTTTTATTTAGTAATTTAAGTTTTTTTTAAAACTTAACTCATGGACTCATTTAAATCAAATTTAAATATTCTTGAATTTTATATTATTATTGGTTCTCTGATCACAATTTATCTTTTGTGAAACTTTCCAACATTTATTTTTATCTTATATCAGTTTTAGACAACATAAAATCTCTCAAAAATGCAATTTATAACAAAAAATAATGACTTTTTTGTGATTTCAATATTAAACTATGTAATTTATTAATGATTCTTTAAATGAAACAAGATTTTTAGTACTGAAGATATAATACATGAAATAAAAACATCTTAAAGATATTTACATAGGATGTGCCATAAGTTCTCAACCTAATGAAAAAAGGCAATGAAAAAAAGGAAAAGTTGTTATTTTCAATATAATTGTCTCTGATTTCAATGTACTTATGACAATGTTTAATTAATTAATTAATTATTAAAAAGCAATTCACTCCCTTTATAAAAATATATTGGCAGCAAGTGCACTTTTGTTCTTTTCCTCAACATTTCTTGCATGTCTTTGCACATAACTGATGTAATAATAATTTGCATTTACAGTGGTAAATCTTTTTTTAAAGTTCATCATCACTATGCTCTCTCTCTCATAATTCCAAAAAACAGCAGCTGGATGGCTAAGTGGTCAACGTTGCAGCCTACTGCTCTGGAGGACCCAAGATCAAATCCAAATGGATTGAAAAATCCACATGAGTTTTTCAGGGGGTGGTCTGACTGGATATGTCGGTCCCTGTCCCTCACCACCCGACCGCCCCATTGTAAGCTTGGCTGAACCTATAATGGGCGTGCTAAAAGAGGCCCTCTTAGTGCCCGCAGGGTGGAAAGAGTTAAAAAAAAAGTTTCAAAAAACAGTAGCCATGATCTTAATTGATGCAACACTTTAGTTTTTGGGGGCTTCCTCCCATGGTCTTTGTCACTTCATTGATTCCACTTTGGAAAAGGGGTCATAATAAAGGACCTAGTCTTATCCTCTGTAACAATAGATTTCAAAAAATCAACTTTATCCACTTTGTAAAGGTCCAAAGTCAACCATGCACTTTCCACATGCTGCTGCCATTGGACAGAAGAAAGAAGTTTGGAAACCCATCTTGTGCTGACTTTGCTCATGCCTTGATGCTCATGAAGTATATGCCAAACACTCATATTTGATATGTTGGTCATTGCTACTATTTCTTTCACCTTCAATTGGCAATTCAAAAGAACCAGTTCCTCCACCATACCAATTTTTTCCAAGGTTATTGCATCTACTGGATGACCAGATCTTGTGTTATCTTCAAGGAATTTTTGTCCTAATAGAAAACATTTAGCCCATTCTTTGACAGTGGTATATGATGGCAAAACTTGTCTGTACACATGATCGAGGTGTTGTTTGATTTCCATGGGTGCTTGGTCTTCTTTTGTAAGAAACTTGATGACTACACGATACCCTAGTTTAAAATTAGCTGCCATGTCATATGCAGAATTCCATTATAAATTACTTTTTAGTACTTCAGCCACTAAATTTCTGTCAGACACTAATAAGATATTAATCTGTTATATATTTGTCTTGACATGTCTTTCAGTCTTGCACAGTAGGTTAGGTCAAGAACTTATGTGCTTCCTTTCTGGTTGAAATGGTTTTGGCTTTTTTAAAAGATGGTTTTTGAAGAATTTTAAAATAAAATGGTTTTTAAAATTTATAAAATTTACAATTGTGATTTTTGAAGTATTATATGTATTATGAATTTAAAAAAATATTTTTTGTTATGAATATTGCCACAGCTCGCTCTTCCCACTGTGTTGTTCATGGTATGGGTTAGCGTCTTCGCCTATCAAGCGAAGGTATCCGGTTCGAACCTCATTGATGCAGGGTTTCTTTTTCTGTGTGTACATTCTCCTGGTCTGAGAGTACATGGTAATTTGTTAGCATTTACATATTTCTGCCACATCTCTGTAGTATATAACTGCAAGCTCTCAGGTTGAGGGTGGTTCTTGTTCTCGTACTGCAAGCTGCAGTAGTTGTACATTCTCTGAGCGAATAAATACCACTTTGTGTTCCTGACAACTGGTTGCTGTTTGTTTCCACAACAATATTACATGTTTTAAAGATTATGAGAATGCTTAGTAGAAATGTAAGAAAAACAGTAATTTTAGTTTTCTTTTTAATTTAAAAAAAAAAATTTATAATTGCAATATAGTCTTGTTAATCAGACCATTTTCTAGTTTGACATGACCAGTAATCTGACATTAATTGAGTCTTGGGTATAAAACCTGGAATGAACTGATTGGTGGTGACATCAAACTCATTTGATTATCAACTGTGCAGTTATCAACCCAATGTCACTCTGTGTCGTATCCTTTGACAGCAGAAAGTGGAAAGTCCATTTGATGACTCTCAGATACAAGAAGTTTGGTTTTTTTTTGAAAGATGATGTGTGCTTTTCAAAGTTTGTGAGAAAGGAACATGCACTTTAGGCTACAAACAAGTGTTGCACATACTTGTGTTGTGATCTTTGTCTCATTTTGTCAATAGCTTTGCTATGTTGCTTTCCCAACATAGCAAAATTATTGCCAATATGAAACAAAGTTGTTTGACAGATTTTCATAGATGTAAAAATATAAATAATTTTATTGATTTTATTGAAATTATAAAAGTTATGTACATATTACAACAGCAAATCTATTCTCTATTTTGTGTATGTTTTCATTTTTATTTATTTATTAAATTTCTACCAAATAGCAACAAATTGAAGCATCTGAATCTAACATCAACAAATCATTGTTGCAAATCATTCTCATTTTACAAACTACTAAATGATAGTTTATAGAGAGATATACAAAATGTTTATTGGTTTTTTGCTGTCAGAGGCAATTTTTATAGTCAGCGACTGTTTTTCTTCAATGATCTGTCAACGTTGCCCCTTGTGATATCACTCATGTTAAAAAGAACTATGACATGAGTGATATCATAAGGGGGCAACATTGCCAGATCATTGAAGAAAAGCAGTCACTGACTATAAAAATTGCCTCTGACAGCATGTCAAAAGCAATTGCATTGAATGGTTTGTGCTGGGCTTTACTGACACCATTGCCAAATTGTAGGCAAACTTTCCACTAGTTGAAACTCCAGTTTTTACTAAATTTGAACATTTTTTCACTAAAAATGTGGCATAATAGCAAGCTGAACGAGAAGGAATACTATACGAAAGATTGTTAAGTTTGTCATCTTAGGATTCTCAAAGAAAAAAAATTACAGTATCTTATAACACACTTACTGTATAAAAATCAATCTTGAAATTTCCTACTAAGTTGGCAACACTACCAGTGATAGCTGTGCATTTGGATGAAAAACAGCAGAAGACAATTGAATTGATTGACAGCTAATTTGAAAACTCAAAAATACAATAACATATGATTGCTCATCTTTTATATTTTCTTGCTATTCTGCATATGTTTCTGATTAATACAATGTATTAATATCAAGAAAATAAACAAATCCAGCAGATGCTTTCCAGCCTTTGCAATATGTTGACACTGCCATCACCACCCTCATTAGAAGAACCTTCTTACTACCATCAATGCAAATGTGAGAATACAGACGAGGGTTAAGGCTCTCTAATCATCAGATCTGAAGGATCTGCTCACTTTGTCACTGGATGGCTTATTCTAACAGACTTCAAGCGGTAAAAGTCTTTGTGGGGTTGTGCAACTTCCATAAATATTAGACTAAGAAGGTCATTGAAAATCAAATCAACAATTTAATCAAACTTAACAAAAATACAGGTAAATAATGAGAACATGAAAGATACATAGATTATCTATATTGCTAGCCTATGGTCTCTATTTAACCCGAGAGAGAGAGTTTACAAAAATCTGTTTACCTCATTGGATATGACAGGGATGGTCTGAGGTTGATGGTTTAGGAGTGTCTTGGTCCAGACGTTGGAAGGAGGCTGGCGGAAGGGCATGGTGGATAAGTCAGGAACACACTCTCAAAAGAGAAAAATTTGTCCTTTTTATTCACATTTTTGACCAATGATTGTGATGGAAAACCATCATCTGACGGGATGTGTCGTGGTGTCTTTCAGACAGGTGTTTGGAAGAATTTAAGATAAGAGGTGGAGGAAGGAAGCAAAACATCCTCCTTTCTCACTAAAGGTTGCGTTATAGAGCATGTTTTTCAGGATGTTGAAGTTTTGTAACCATTTTAGGTTATATTAAAATAATAAAAAAACCGATAAAAATTTGAATAAAATTAAGTTAATTTAGTTAATGTGGGTTATTTGAGGAGGGAATTCTGTAAATCAAATTAGAAATCCCTTCAGATTATCACACAGGTGCTAGTTAATATTGAATTCAACACCATTAGTTTAGTATGTACTGCTGGTTTCTAGCATAGTCTACGCTGTACCGCTTGAGAATCTCACAACAGGAATGAATACGAAGTACATTGAGGCCACAATAAGAATGTTAGCTAGCTGCCTAGCAGAACACCAAGATGATATAATCAAGGGAAGGCACACCACAGAACTTGCAAAAAAGGTGTTTGAGCAGGGTTACAATCTGTTATGGACCCAAGCAACAATGCTCAGATGCTGTAATAATTGAAAACTTATCTTTATATGGGAGTCCCTTCTCACAGCAACCTCAGAGGCATCACCCTTCCTACTCTCAACCTGCTATGTATGGGTCATGCTGTATAAGTGGTTAAATGATTCTCATCCACTGTCACATTGCTAACATGGGTCTGCATTCATGCATGTGCTGCTTCAAAGCATACATTTAACATCGTATGCCCAACTTTGAATACATTTGAAAATTAGTGACTTGTTCTTAACAGTTTTATCAAAAGTTTTAATTTGAATAATATGCATTCTGTTCTTCTTTCTCAGACTATAGTTGAGCGTTGATTATCCGAATCAATTGGGGACTGGGATTGTTCAGAAAATCGATATTTCAGATAACCGATTATGTACAAAAAAATATACAGTAGAACCTTGATTATCCGCCCTAATTGGGGACTGGGGTTGGTCGGATAATTGAAAAGCCGGATAACCGAAAAGTATGAAAAAATCCATTATTAGTGTAGTATATTATTATATCCCATGTAATTAGTATATTAGTATATCGCTATTAACCTATTTTGCGTTGAATTTTCATCGATGTTAAGCCTAACAAAAATTTTTTAAAATAATAATCGTCGCTATTGTA